GCGTCATACTTAATGAACAGATTGTACAGTTTGACCATGGTCTCAGCTGCCTCATTCATCAACGCTGGAGGGAAGCCCATCTTCTGAGCAACCTGCAGACAGATGTACTTTGTCAAAAAAAAAAAAAAAAAAATTCAGCAGCGAGCTATTTTCAAACAAATGGCAGAGAAATGCCCAAAGAATACATGTTTATAGCCGCGATCAGGGGGTCAAACATAAAGCCCAGGGGCCAAAATCGGCTTGAGAAAAGACTGTCTCCGGCTTTGGAGAATGTGAAGGAGGAATTTTATACTTTTAGGTTCACAGCATTCGCTACAAAGTAATTAAGTAATTAGAAAGAAATAAACTTTCAGTATTTTCATATTTTTTTGAATGATCAAATATCTTCTGTTTTATAACTACGAAGCAGCTTAAATTAAAGTGTACAGCTACAGAAAAAGTTCTGGTAGGTCATTGCCCAAAAAGTCTTGCTGACAGATTTACTTACCACTGCAGTGTTTCTTTATCACGTAGAAACACTGTGTGGTTTACTTACATTAAGATTTGTCAGAAATTAAATGTGTAGTAAAACTTCTGTACACTGAGAGAAAGGGAGTTCTGATCATTATCAACAATGGCATAAGAATTACAGCTTGATTTAAGCATCTCCTCTAACTGTCCTGATATCTTTAACATCTTTCAGCTCATTGTTTTGGTTTTCTTGGTCACATATGTAGCACTTTGTCTCATTCACTGCTCCCACAGAGCTTAATCCTGTCGACATTAAGACAAAAGTGAAATTTCAAACAGAAACAGTAGCTTCGACAGGTCTCATTAGAAGCACGGAAAGCCTGCTGGGTCTGTAAGAACATCACGTTGTTTGAAAAATGTGGTCTTGGCGGACAAAAATAAATGCAGCGAAGGAATATCAATGCCGCTCCATCTAGTTTGAGAGCCCTGCAATCAACACCTCTTCTCTCTGTCAAATATATTGAGTCTCTGCTTTCACTATGACAACCAACATATTCAATATTCAGAGCCAAAGAGATGTGCAGCAACAGGGGAACAGGAATAAAGTGGAAAGGAAAAGAAAGACAGTCAGAAGTGAGACAGGGTGGAGAAATGAGTACATCTGTAAACAAAATAAATCAAGTCCACCAAAAACAAGAAAGAACTCCAGCATTAGCTTCTGAAAGTCAGCTGATAGAAAAATAACGAAATTCATGTTTCTTTTAAAGGTGATTTGAATAATTTCTTCGTGAACTGTGTTCTGTTTGAATGATTTTCTTATTACTACAATTCCTCTAACTTTGCTTTTAGAGAACTCAAGTCTAGAATCAGTGCTTAATGTTTCTGAGGGGAAGAAGCCATTGTTACTTTCATTTATACCAAAGCAGGTGACACTGGGTCTGTCCTGTTGTGCATCCTAACTGGACAGACTGATGTCCAGAGGTTTAACCGACTTGGTGTAAGACTGTGATGATCAAGTGTTCCCTTCATTTTATTTTGAGCAGTACATATTTACAGTGGTAAAAGACTGATGGCAGCTTCCGTGAGAAAACCCAACAAGAGCTGTCCAGATACAGCTTGCAACTCTGAAAGCACTCCTGCTGATGTAAGAAGAAACAGAGGGAGAACCTGATGAAGCCTTCTGTAATTATGAATTCCAAGTTGATTTATGTCAGGAAACAAGCAGACATAACGTGTCATGGCTACAGGGCGATCACTTCATCTTTGTAGTTTGTTTGTTTTTTTTTAAATTGAAATTATTATTAAGATCATGTTTCTGTGTTAAGCGCATTTTTTAAGATCGGTCAAGAAGAAGCTTTTGCAACGTGCAGATGCCGTGATAATGATTATTAAACATGATAGTTTTGTGAAAGCTGTAATGTTTTGAGTTTGTTCAGGTGATCTGGAAATAAACTACAGTTAATGGAGTTCATGATCCAAGTGTGATTGAGTGAACACACCTGAGCGCTCAGCTCAAGAGTGCTGAATTTTCCCCCTAGTGCTTTTTACTTGTTCGGTACATGTAGCAGGAACATCCTCACTCTCTCACAAGTAGCTGCTCAAGTAGCTGTAAAGTACAGCAGCTACATTACAAACACTGCAGCATCATCTTGTTGACAAAAGGTAGACCACAGTGCATCAGAAAGTATTTGCAGCGCTTCACTTCTTCCACATTGGCCCATAATGACAGCATTAATGATGATGAAACAAACATAATGACACAATTACAGCCTCAAGTCATTTTTAGTATCATGCTCGGGTTTTTTTGTGTGTGTGTGGTTTTTTTTTTTAATATGATCTGCTTCTTTGCAGAACGTCTCAGGCTCTATCAGACTTTATGCAGAGCGTTGGTTGGCAGCCCTTTTCAGATCTCTCCAAGATGTTGAATTGGGTTCAAGTCTGGGTTCTGGCTGGGCCACTTGAGGATATTCACAGAGTGCTCCTGATGCCACTCCTTTGTTATCTTGTCTGTGTGCTTAGGGTCATTGTCCTGTTGGAAGATGAACCTTGTCGCAGAGCCGAGCGCTGGATGTGTCTGTACGTTGCTACATTCATCTTTCCCTCGACTTTGACTAATCTCTCAGTTCCTGCTGCTGAAAAACATCCCAGCATGATGCTGTCACCACCATGCGTCACTGTAGGGATGGTATTGGCCAGGTGATGGGCAGTGATGAGCGTTTGATCTTTGTTTCCTCAGACCAGACGATTTTGTTTCTCGTGGTCTGAATCTTTCAGGTGACTTTTGGCAAACTCCAGGGGGGCTGTCATGTGGCTTTTACTGAGGAGTGGCTTCTGTCTGGCCACTCTACCATGCAGCACTGATTGGTGTAGTCCTCAGAAATGACTGTCCTTCTGGAAGGTTCTCCTCGCTTCACAGAAAAATGCTGGAGCTTTGTTAGAGAAACCATCAGGTTATTGGTCAGCTCCCTGACTAAGGCCCATCTACCCTGATGGCTCAGA